CGCAGCCGCAGGCCCGGCCGCCATTTCCACCTCCTTTTCCGCCACAGCGAGTGCTGCCTTGACCTTGCAAGGTGTCCCTCGAAGAGGGGCTCTCGCTGGTTATAAGTCACGAATTCTTATGAGATGTGCCTATGTGCCAGTGAGACTCCTTTTTTGTCCTTTCTGAGTGAGCTAGCAGTGCAGAGCTTTCTGTCGTGTTGTAGAAATTGTGTTTTAAAGCAAATGTGTTAATGGCAGACTACCTAAAGCCTGTCGCTGAAGAGGAGCGAAGAATAGAGGCTGAAGAGAAAAAGAAGCGTGAAGAACTTGAGAGGATTGCAAAAGAGCTTGCAGAAGGTAGTGCCTCAATTTAATGTATGCGTCCCATGCCAAAGCACATGCTGGTGTGAGGGTGGACAGCTGTTCTACTGCAGTGTTTTTAGAAGAAATTCAAGCTTACAGCCAGTGGGCTGCAGACTTGTGTGGATCCATGAACCAGTGGGTCGTGTCATGTGAAGGGTAAATAGTGCTGCTGTTCAACAGGGTCTTCAGAATGTAGACGTTAGTAGAGGAAGAGTTAAAACCACTTTTGCAACTGAACAGGAATTGTTAAATGGCTATCTGAATTTCCACTGAGAAAACAAGCTGTTAAAAGCTGCTGGTTATTCTCTGAGGAATAGCTGAAACTATATAGTAACTGTCCTCAGATGTCCCTTATTCAGCTGAATGCAGCAAACCTTCATAGATTCTACATTCCCCCTTCTCTGTGCAGTACAGAGGTCTCACAAATGTGACTGATGATTAAAACCAGAAGTAGCAGCCAGCTGCTTGTGCTTGCAGCTCACACTGCTAAGTGGTGTCAGTAGTGTTGAGTTAGCGGTCAACTTCATTTGCTGTATCTGCCACATGAAGTGAATATGCTGAAAGTGGTCAGCTGGGCTTATTCCTGCTTCTTTCTCATTCCCTTCCAGCCTGTGGTATGTCTGCTGCAGTATGCTTTCCCTCATCATTAAGATTATTTCTTGGGTCCTCTATGTATTTCTAACAGAGAATTCTCCCCTACTACCACCACCTTACAGGGGAGTGTTCTCTCTAGCTTGAATTCACTTAGGTTTTTTAGGTGGACTTACAGTTTGGAAGAAGATTAATTAATAAGCCAAGCTGTTCTTGGTGTAGCTACATGTTTAGTAACTTTCCCTGTGAAGTAGTGACATTCGCATTGTCCTAAACAAGACTAATGTTGAACAAAACCCTGTGAAATTAAATGAACTGCACATATGTAAGATTAAATATGTGAGTTGGTGAACTGTATTGCTTACTAGCGATAAAGCTATTTGGCACAGCTGTTTTACCATCTTCAATATATGATCTCCATTGGTCATGGACTAAATAAGTGGATCTTTCAGGTGACTTCTAGTTTTGCTGAAACTTTGTATTTTTTGAGCTAGAGGTTATACAATGGTGTTGCTACTCCCCTTTATAATTCTGTGAATATTTCTTTGGGATGTTTGATCTGTTTAAAAGTGTCACATAGATTTTTGGTGTGGTTTTCATTTAGAAAAGCAGTTGTTAAAACTTCATTCAGTGCAATGCAGTTGTTGAAGATTGTGCTTTAAAGATGAATAACTGGACATATCTGTAATGATAGCTTTTTCTGGGCTTATTTGAACTGTCAGTTCAGAAAGCTGTCATTTACTAATGAGTAAGCCAAAATAGTGCCTTTACCTCAGAGCAATGAAATACACTTCATTTGAATAAGTGGAACTGGGAGTCATAAAAACTGGCTAGAAAGAAACTGCATACTTAAAGGGAGCCTTTGATGCCATTAGTGTTTTGCATATTTTAGAACTGCATGAGAGTGACTAGTAATCCTAACTGTCTTTGTTTTTTCTTCCCTTCTAGCAAGTGAAGAGTCTATACTAAAATGAACAAAAGATTGGATCTTAATATCTCACGTGGAAATACATGGCTAATCTCTGAGCTGTTCAGCGGTTGGTGGACTCTGCATGCTATTCTATCAATAAAATTCTTACAATGCTTCAGTTGGTATTTTTTCAGTGAATTGCACAGAACAGCAGCAGAAGCATTCACAGAATGTGACAGGAAGCATTTGTCAAGAGCTGGCTGTTTCCTGCAGCTGAAACACCTCCAGCAACAGCCAGTTGCTACATCTTTTATTCATAGGTAATGTTTGTGGTCAGAAAATACATACAGTTCAATAGATAGGTGGGCAGAGGTGGGGGGGCTGGCATGGCACTGGCTGCCTGAACCTAGCTATTAAATAACTTCACTGGGGAGTCACTGCCATCTTTTTTCACCGTTATCACAGTGGATTACTGCACAAGTCTTGCATTTGACACTGCAGTCAAATTTCATTGTGACTTGTCAAGCTATGCCAAGATCTTAGGGATGGGTGCTGACTCACTAGTCAGTTGTATCTAAACACATAACCTTTTCACGTTTAACAAATGGCCAGATGTTCCACAAAATTAAGTTATGGTCTAAGTGTAGTCTTGTATAAGAAGTGACAGGCTATGCAGATGACCAGAGTTTAAAAAAAAAAGGCTTTTCATGAGACATTGACTCTGCTTTTAGCGTGCAAACTGCTAAGTCATCTCAGCTGTACAGACCCTAGATGTCCCAGAAGAAGGTAAAAAGCCTGTCCCTGTAGATTGTTGTGTTGAGTGACTTGTTTTGTGTTCTTGTTTTTCTCACTATAAATAATACTAATAACTCAAAAGAGGTTAAGATGGGATACTTTGAAGGAGAAAAGGGGAACAGAAAATCAGCAACGTCTTGTCATGATTGAGTTTTTAGTTGTTTCTTGGCTTGAATGTGTACCTCATAGTACTGAAATAGTTAGATGTTGCTAATGAAATTAAAGCTCTAGACTGGCAATTAATTTAAAATGTTATTAATGTCAAATTGAAATAATGCATTGTATCCTGACCTCTTGGGATAATGGGCTGTGTTACATACTTAAAAGTCAATATTCTTCCAAAAGCCTCTTTTCAGGAGCTGTACATTAGGTCTGAAGTGCTGGAAAACTTTTTTTTTTTTAAAGCACTGATGCTCAGCCCATGTCTGTGCTGCTAATGTGTAACCTGTCAAATGGTGGTTATATGAAGTGCTACTGAAAAAACACTGAAACTCAACACCTAAGATTCAGCTGCGCCTCAGTGCTTTAACAAAATGTGGTATAACAGGATACTATTTACTTCAAGCTGAAATACCTTTACTACTGTTTTGTTACGGGCTGGCCATAGAGGTGATTGCTGTTTTTATGTTTGGGTTGCTGGAGCTGGACCTAGTTTCTGGAACAGCTGTGGCCTGCTGCTCTCCAGAGGGCTAAATGTGCTCACCTTTACCTGCTCCTGGTGTCCCACATTGAAGTGTGCTGTGTGCTAGAGAGGGGAGTTTCATCTTCCCCTCCTTTTACTTCTGCTGTGGTGGTTGTGCCAGCAGTGTTTTAGTTCCCCCCAAGGGCAGTGTGACTGCTGTTAGAAGGGCTGAGCTGGTCCTTCCTGGTGCTGATGTTGGATCCCAGCATACACCGTGGGGTAAGAGGTCTTTCCGTAGACTACACTCAATGCAGTAGCCATACGTGGAATTTTGCTTCTTGCCTAGCTCTAGGATCATGAATGACTCATCCTGAACTCTCCTGTTGCTTTTCGCATTGTGCCTTCGTTACTCTCCTTCCCCTGGAAGTTGTCCTGCATTTGGGGCCCATGTCTCTAGTAACTTAGCTAACAACTGCTGGACTGGGTTCTAAATGCAAAGGGGATGGGTTCTTTGCATCCAAGGATGTCTGTCAGACCTATAGGAATTAGGGTATAAGAATCCCATGCACAGGATGATGCAGAAGTGCCACCCTTTCCATACCGTCCTCAAAACCTGGCTGCAGGGCCAGGCAAGAAAGCTGTCCTTGCAATACCTCTTACATTAGGATGAATTCCCATGTGGGTGGGAAAGGTACCACAAACCTCATTACAGCTGTCCTACAATGACCAAATTACTGCTTTTGCCATCTCATTTTCTTCAGGCAATAGATTATCAGGTCTGTACAAAAAAAAAGCCAATGCCTAACAGCTATAGTAAGCTTAACACTGCAGCAAGACTTGAGTACCTGTGAAAATTAATACATCTTACGGCATCACCTAGGAATGTTAACATGCAAAAGGATTGAAATAGGTAAGTAAATTATTTTAAGAGAAGGTCTTAAAACTAATTGGGTGAACTGATTGTTGTCTTCAGCTGAGGGAGACTGTGGAAAAGACAGCCTCATACTCCTAGGTGCATGGCAAAAGGACAGCCCCTCTGCTTAATGCCAAGGCATGCAACTCATCTACGTGGAGGGTAGATCTGAGATGAGGGGCTTGAGTGCTCCCTCAGTAAGTTAGCAGATGACACTGAGTTGGGAGGGAGTGTTGATCTGCCTGAGGGTAGGAAGGCTCTGCAGAGCAACCTGGATAGGCTGAATCCATGGGCTGAGGCCAACTGTATGAGCTTCAACAAGGCCAAGTGCCGGGTCCTGCACTTCGGTCGCAATAACCCCATGCAGCGCTACAGGCTTGGGGACGAGGGGCTGGAAAAGACCTGGGAGTGTTGGACAGCAGGATGACCATGAGCCAGC